ATTCAGTGAATGCGATGGTATTAAGCGGTGCCTCAATATGTGGGTCCAAAGAAGCCGTCAGATTCCTCAACACTATCGTAAAGGTCGACAGTTGGGGTCCGGGAAGACTGGACTCCTATCTCAGGAGTTACGAGAGCCCCCAAAAGGTACAGGAGTTGTGGACTAAGTTTGTCAGATCTACTGAATACCACGAACACTACTTCGGGAAAGACATGTTTGGCAAAGACGCCTATTATAACGTTAAGTGTCCCGTTGTTATAATTTTCGGTGAAAAGGTATTTATTATTTGCATTTAAAAAGTATTTTGTTTATTTACTGCTAATAATAAATGTTGAAACTTAGGATCAGATCACAGATGCCGAGCAATCGTTGCATCTGAACCGATACATGCGATTCTCAAAGTTAATGCGATTCCCGTCGGCCGGACACGACTTTCATCAAAAGTTTGCCACAAAATTCAAGATTATATGCGAAGAACTCTTTTGGAAAGTGTGACACAAAATATAAAAGTTCACTCATTATACTCAAAGTTAATGCGATTCCCGTCGGCCGGACACGACTTTCATCAAAAGTTTGCCACAAAATTCAAGATTATATGCGAAGAACTCTTTTGGAAAGTGTGACACAAAATATAAAAGTTCACTCATTATCTTGCCAATTGAGATATAAATTATGATTGATTTGATGGCTTATATACTCTTTTGTGAATAAATATACTAAAAATTATGACTAACAAAAATTTCAATGTATTCAATATAATTAAAATCAAATCAAATCAAATTGCTTTGTTATTTGTCCCATTTTTTGTAAAAAATATTCAATCAAATCTACATATAATACGATAATAATTTATAAAAGTTTCAATTGATTCCCAATTGAGCACAATATTCAGGAATTAAATCAAAAATATTATTTTATTAATCATCTATAAAAGTTTATAAAAAAGTTTATTTTCATAAAAATATGACAATTAGGAAATATTTATATAATATAACTCACAAATCGTTTCAAGTATTATGATTATGTAATAAGTAGTTTATTTTTATTAAATCTACTACTAAATTATACTCCATACTTTACAATTAATTTGTACATTTTATAAAAGATTTTATAAAAAAAAGTAA